TGTTTTAGGCCATACAAACTTATATTAAGCCTGCATACTTTTGAAGTTTCCTCAACATGATAACCAGGAGGCATTTGCATATAGACCTCCTCCTCCAAATCTCCAGGTAAAATGCATTATTCACATTGAATTGGTGTAAATACTAGCCTTTTACTGCTGCAACTGCAAGCAACGTTCTCACGGTTACCAATTTTGCTACCGGTGAGATCGTCTCGTGGTAATCAATTCCCTCTAGCTGAGTGTATCCCTTTGCCACCAGCCTTGAGTGTATACCTCTCAACTGTTCCATCAGCATTAAACTTCACTTTATAGATTCATCGACATCCTATAGGATCCTTCCCAGGTGGCAAATCTGTCACAGTCCAAGTTTGGTTCAACTCAAGGGCATCTATCTCAGCATGCATAGCTTTACACCATTCAGGGCTTTTGGCAGCTTCTTGATAGGTAGCTGGCTTAGATTGTGTGAGTATGCAAGAGATAAAGGCTTTATGTTTCTCAGATATTATGTGATATGAAAGTCTTGCAAATAATGGAAATGGACTACCTGGCTTTGCAATACCTTTCTGCTTGCAAGACTCTTGTGAATAAGTGAATGATGGTACTTGTTGGCAAACAAAATCTTGTACGTAAGTTGGTGCCCTTCTACTTCTGTCTGATCTTCTGGGAATGTGTGGATTTCTTATGACATTAGGTGATGCTTCAGACTCATCTAGAGGCTCATCAATGGGTTGATTTGTTTTTGAGAATTCTATGCTTTGGTCATGATTTTGTGTTGGCTTCTCTTGCAATTGGGAATTGGAATAAGTAGGATGATTAAAAACAATTTTCCCTGGTTAAGAAAAAGCTAAGTCTGCAAGGTTTGGCAATTTGTGAATGTTAGTTGATAGATCACCAGTTTCAGCATTGGTCATTTTGTAAGGAAATATTCTTTCATGGAATACTACATCTCTTGACAGGAAAATTTTGTTGGTTTTCAAGTCTAGCAACTTATAACCTTTAGTTCCAAAAGGATACCCTAAGAATACACATTTTCTTGCCCTTGAATCAAATGTGTGCCTGTTGTATGCTAGTGTGGCAGCAAAAGCAAGACAACCGAATACTCTAAGGTTGGAATAACATGGTTTGGCTTTAAAAAGGACTTCAAATGGGGTCTTGTTGCCAAGAATAGGGGTTGTTATTCTATTTATCAAAAAAACTGCTGTTAGAACACAGTCATTCCAATATAATATAGGCAATCCACTCAGAAATTTCAATGCTCTTGCTACATTTAAAATATGTTGATGTTTTCTCTCAACAATAGTGTTTTGTTGGGGGAGTTTCCACACAAGTAGTTTGGTGTATGATCCCCCTTTCAGAGTATAATTGTTTTAAGTTGAATTCTCCCCATTATCAGTTCTTATAACCTTAATTTTGGAATGAAATTGTGTTTCAATCATGGTGTAAAAGTTTTGCAAAATAATACAAACATCATATTTAAGTTTCAACAGATAAATCGAAGTGCATCGGCTGTGATCATCAACAATGGTGAGGAAATATCTTGATCTATCATAAGAAACATCAGTACATGGTCCCCACAAATCACAGTGAACCTTCTGACTTATGATGACTAATATTGAAAGGTAGCCTATGTAATTTAGCTAAAGGCAGATAGAGTAGGGTGTTTTGGCGTCTTTTGTCTTAAGATTATGATGTAAATTGGTTAGGTGCAGCCTTAGTTTTGGCAGATCTTGACCCAAACTTGTAGAGGGAATTTCCTTTTGCACCAAATGATACAAGCCTTGTCTCACTTTACCCAGACCAATCGTTTTCCAAGTTGAAAGGTCCTGCACATAACACAAATCAGAAGAAAAAATGAGGTAACATTTGGACGTTTGAGCAAGTTTCCTGGCAGATATAAGGTTAAAAGAAAAGGTTGGCACGCATAAGACATCATAAAGTATCAGGTCATTTGCGACTCTAACATTCCTTATGTAAGTTGCTAATGTTACATCACCATTAGGCAAAGTAACAGACTGGGTGATTTTGGACTCAACAGTGGTGAGAAAAGAGACAGAATAGACCATATGGTATGTAGCTCTTGTGTCAATAACCTAAGGTGCAACTAGTTTATTCTTTGTATTGCAGGTAAATAAAGACATACGAATACCAGAGATTTTGGATGTATCCATATGTTTGGAAGAGAGTAGATGAGATTCATTGGTTTGTGGTTTGAGTAAAGCCATCAACTGAGCATATTGCTCTTGAGCCAAACTGACTTGATCCTTGTTACCAGTCTGCTCTTGTGTAGGCTTCATAGAGTGAAAATCATGATCTGTAATAGTGGCATTAGCTTGCGTCCTTCCATAGAACTTGCGGCCTGATGGATAATCATGAATTTTGAAGCAATTACTTATGTTGTGGCCTGGCATTTTACAATGTGTGCATCCTGGTTTATCTTTATTAGCCTTAAGACATCTCTCCAATGAGTGACCTGCCATCTTTCAAAAGGTACAGTAATACCTCCTTTGGATCCCCATATTTCTTTTCTCCCATTCTTTTGGGCAACTCCTTGACATCGGTGTCATTCCTCCATTGGCTCTATCCAAGGGCTATCCAGATCAGTTGGCTTTCAGATGCTCCCATCAATGAAACCCAATTTGTTCTTAATCCTAAGAGCCCTCTTCATGGATCTTGCCCAAGAGTGGTAGTTAACAGAATCAAGCATTTGAGTGACCAGCAACGCATAAGAGTTTTCATTAGCCCCTATGAAATATGGACTGCTGGGAAGAAATGGATCGTGTGTATTTGGATTTTGATTTGGGTTTGAGTTTGAGTTTTGAGATGCTATTTGATTTTGATTTGAGGCGCTATTTTCTTCACTTTCAGCCATTCTGCTTTGATACCATATAAAAATTAATCAGTTAATGTTGATAAAAGAAGGAAGAAAATAGAACAACAATTTGACAGAGAAAGAAAATGGAATTCATTCAATACTTTCTCATTGCATTTTTGGTGAATACAGTTGTACACATATATATACAATATAATGTGATAAACCTATACAAGTGTCAAAAAACTATTGCTCATTAATCATACAACAAATAACTGAAATGAAATATAATCTAACTACTCAGCATGTGCTCCAGCCACCTTCACCTCAGTGCCATTTCGGATGAAGGCAATCTTCTTTGTCCTTCTAAATTTTGTTGGCCTGTGACAAGTATGAAATTCAATATCGAAAGTTGTTTTAGATGTTTGATAAATTTAAGAAAAACTAATCTTAAAAGAATTTTCATCATTTGACGGCAGATTTTGAGAAACAATAAAATTGTAACTTTTCAGATTTTGCTTTTATTTCAATTATCTATAACTAAAATACTAATTTAACCCTATTTAATTAAATTAATTCCTTTTCTACTATATGTAATTTTTTTTATTTTGTAATTTTATAATTTATGAGATTAAATAGATATTAATTTTTTTCATTTTCAAATTACTGTACTGAAATTGTTCTAGAAAAATATTTGATTAGTATTACATATTATATTGTTACAAAAGTAAATATAAATTTACAATAATATTAATGAAATATGCAAATAGACATCATTATAATCAATGTCCATTTTAGTAGTTGTATACATACAACAATTAATTACTTTTGGCTAAATATATTTACATCACAATTTTTAATAACTAAATTACATTTTAATTGGATGAAAAGTTCATAACCTTTACATAGTATCATATTTATGTCTTAAACGTTTTTTTTTATTGCATTCTTACTCTCAAATTAACGTAAAGTATTCTTGAGTTTGGAGCTACTAGATTCCACACCATTGCCCTTTGTGGGTAACCTGAAGAAGCAGCCGATTGGGAGGTTTGATTTCGGATTGGATTGTGACTTGTGGTGTTCGATTGGAAGTAACTGAGCCCGATTTTAGTGGTGATTGGAGTCCTATTTCTAACAAAAAGAAAAGAAAAAAATAAATTAAAATAGTTAATTCCTTGAAATATTTATGAAAAGTAGTTTCCTAATGTTATTCATATTGAAACAATATATAGTTATGCACAAATATAATGAAATCAAGTAAAGTTTCTCTAAGCTTGTTTGGGATGTGTTTATGGTCAGTTTAAGATATAAATATATAAAAATGAATGATGAATAGGTCATAGGTGGATTCTACGGAATGTGTGGATAAAAATGGATTTATTGTTTATATTTTAAATACCTCTGATGAGTATGCAAGGTATAATTTTTCCCCAATGGTTCTCCTATGACCTGAAAATGGTTGAATAATTCTCTTTGGTGGTTTGGAAGGAGGCGACATAGTGATTTCTGGAAGTAAATATTTTTTAGAAAGTTAATTTTTGTAGTAAAATAAGTAACTTTGAAATTTATATTTAGCAAAATAATTAACTTATGCAACTAAACAGGTTCTCAAGTCTCATGGGAAGCAAGCCTATAACATTTACAGTCATGTATCAATTGTTCAGAAGAACTCAGAAAATCCTAATTCCTAAGAAGTAAGAATTTCTCAAATCAGATTTCGGTAAGTCGAATGATGTTTCGATTTCATTCATATTAACGGCATGCTCTTGATGAATATAATATGCACAGTATCGGTGTAATATCTTCTATAGAAAATGGTTGAATAATTCTCTTTGGTGGTTTGGAAGGAGGCGACACAGTGATTTCTGGAAGTAAATATTTTTTAGAAAGTTAATTTTTGTAGTAAAATAAGTAACTTTGAAATTTGTATTTAGCAAAATAATTAACTTATGCAACTAAACAGGTTCTCAAGTCTCATGGGAAGCAAGCCTATAACATTTACAGTCATGTATCAATTGTTCAGAAGAACTCAGAAAATCCTAATTCCTAAGAAGTAAGAACCCAAATATAACCCTAAAAAAGGCTGGCATATTGAAATAAACCTACATACAGAGATATATTCTCCAAATGTTATATCAGGTAAATAAAGTCACTGATACAAATTAACATATATACTTATGACATAGAAGTTCTACAAATAGAAAGGATTAGCAGTACAATCCACAATCGATCTAAGGTCCTCCCAATCTTCATGCTTTAAAAGGTCGGAAAAGTCTGGACACACAGAGCTGGAGAAGGATGATGCAGCAGGTGGCACCTGAGAAGCTGAGCTGAAATGGCCTAAATATTGTTGGTTTCCAATATTATCACCGAAATAAGGACCGGGTTTCTTCTCATTTTGTCGAATTATTGGAGCGTCGAAACGAATATAACTTTGGTTATTATGATCAGACTCCAAGCTGCATGTTTTGGAGATTGCATCAACTGGATTAATACTGATATTCCTCTTGGCACCGACTTCTCTCCAGTCTGGTCTGCACTTCTTATAGGAAATATTCCGCTTTAAAATTCGACATAGAGTCCAAACTTCCTGTTAAGTAGCAACTCAAGAATTGAAGAATAATTTTTTACCCAATTTTATGAATAAAGATTCAATATATCTCTACAATACTACGTGAAGCCTAATCATATTAATGTTCATCCATTCTTTGATCCGGGATTGACCTAATATTAGTGTTGGAAAATACGAATTGTGGATCGTCCATGTGGGGTGATCCGACCACAAGTTATTAAAGTGAATTGGAGGGAGTGGTTTGAATAAAATTCAAACCATAACTTCCCTCAACTTCCATCAATTTCCATAATTTTGAAATAGCTCTCTTCACTTAGAATTGCATGATGAGAGGAAAAGATTGGCAAAATAATATGGTGAAATTCATATGGAAAATCTTCCATAAATTGGAAAGGCCCTAAAACCATTTTTTTGGCATAGAAACCCACAAAATTAGGCACTTAGGTTGTTGATTATAATCTCCTTCCATTGTGATCATGATTATGATCATTGTAGTGCTAGAAAATGTAGAATTTGAAGCTTAGAAAGCAAGATGATTCTATCACACAAAAATCTTGAAATTCATCATTTCAAGTAAGAATTCTTGACCCGTAATTTATGATTATGCATGCTGGGAAATCCTACAATTAGATAGCGCATATATGTACAATAGTAAAACCCTAAAGATGTAAGTGGACATAGAGGATCATTCAATTTTTCATATATATGCATGCTTGTGTGGAGAAATTCAGGCCTTAGATTCCATCAATGTTCTCAGAAAAACCACCAACTCTCCACAAATTAATGATTAATAGAGTAAAAGGATTGGAGTTTTAAATTTCTTACAGCTTCTTGATCAGCAAGGCTTTTGGGTTCGATATGTTTGTAGCTCTTATCATCACTGGGTGGAAGGCGAAACTCGTGCATCATCCAATCAGTCTTGGTGCCTTTCCCGGCACTTCCACGATAGTAGACAAGAGATTTCTTTAGTCCAATGCATTCTCCCCTCGAAGAATAAACTGGTCTATCAATACCAGTGGCTTTCCAGAATCCAGAATCTGTCACTCTGTTAGGTCTTATGCTGTTTCTGTATTTTCTTCCTCTTTTGCAAAAAAAGTACCACTCCTTTTCTCCTACATTACTGCCTTCTGCATACCCAAAAAACTAAATTAGAACCACTAAGTATCAGAAAAAAAACTATATTTCAACCTTGAGCAGAATCTACTTCTGTATGCTGATGAACAATAATATTCACAACAATTTTGAGCAAAAGATGTCAGAAAATCGACAGATCTTAAAGATTAAAACATGAGAGAAGTCATGACATACTTGGAAGATCCCATGGATCGTACTTGTAGATATCAGCCTGTTTTATAAGCTCAATATTGATCGGTCTCTTTTCGACCTTCCTTTTAAGATAAAACCCCACAAGTTCTTCATCGGTTGGATGAAACCGGAACCCCGGAAGCGGAACATCATCTTCTTCCTCTTTATTATTGATCACGCTACTGAAATTTTCCACTTCCATGGTTCTTGACATTTTTTTCCTTCTCCTGTGGGAACATGCTAGTCAGGTTAAATATGAAAATAGAGGAACCTTCTTGACATTCATATAAAGGTGACGTAATGAGGGTGGTTGGAAGAAATTTGCTGCATATTTGGTCAAGTCATGAGAATTGACTTGTTGCTTGTGGGCCCCAAGTCCTGAGATTTTTGAACTTGAAGCAGTCTTCAGTCTTCCATTAGCTGATCATTTCTAGAAAAAAAATTGTATTATTGGTCTGACGGTTAAGTCTTTCCGTGACGTTCATGAAAATATATCTCGCTTTACCGAAGTTGGAAAGTTACATAATTTCATACAATTAGGAATATGAAATCACACGAAGATTTTTGGTCACCAGTGAGGACCGTCTGTTCAACTCAACGAAAGGTCGAGGATTAAATTGCTCTTTTTTAAAAGTCAATGGACCAAATTGTTACTTGAAAAATAGGTTGTGAACAATCAATGCGATTTTCCCAATAAAATTTTATTAAGAATATAATTATAGAAAATTAAAGCAAAACAAAACAAAAACAAAGGGTGTTACCAATTAGAGGCTGTTTGATAAAAACATTTCTGAAATTTTATCCATTTTTTAACTGGTAAATTTTTTATCAAGAGCTTTGTCATATAATCACTCAGATGAATAGATGACGTGGCATGACGTAATACCTTTATTGGTAAATAGGCTTTTCGTCTAGATGTTGATTAAGTGAAAACACAACAACAATTAAATAAAATTTCATCTTTGAATGTGATTAATTATCAGTGATTTGACATTTAATTGTAAATTACAAATTACATTGTTGATTAACGATGAGTATAAATAGATTGTTGGGATAGTCAAACTCCAAAAGTTCAAGACTGTCCTAATTCAAAGAATTTGCTTTATTTTTCAGATTAATAAATTGAACAAAGCTGGCTATGTTGATTTATTAGTCATAAGTAAAAAGTTACTTATTCTTAAAGTAACCCTTTTATATAAATGGAACAAAGCTGGCTATGTTGATTTATTAGGCATAAGTAAAACGTTACTTATTCTGAAAGTAACCCTTTTAAGCTTAGCCAAATATGCTCGTTATCGTTTACTAGAACATGAATATCATTATTTATACAACTTCTTCGCACTACGTACCCGACTAGAAAATACTTTTAACTTTCTTCGAAAAGAGAATACATATTGTTACTCGAGCTCCCCACATGGAGGCTGCATGAACAGCCACAAAGGGCCATGCCATAAGTGACCCTTTTCCGACAATATAAAGGGATGAACTCGATTTTCTTAAAATAGTTAACTGAGAGACCACTTTAACTACACAGTAACAACTACAAACATCATGAAATCAAATGTATGATTGCAATATGATCGAACGATTCATTGGTAATAGGACAAATCAACCAAGTGCAGTAGTTGAAAAGTTACGAATACCTCTAAATTCATATCTACCGTCAATTTTTAATAATATTTGAAAAACTAGTTGAAACTCTATCGATTTATTTTTCTTACCCCCAATTTCCGATTATTGACTTGAGCGTAGCATGCCTTAGTAAGCAGATAGTGTATATATAAATGTAAAGACTGCAAAAATTTATTGACGGTCGGATAAACTTTTTAAGCTTAGTCAAATATGCTCGATTTTGGTTTTCTCAAATTTCTTTGCACTGACTACTTAAAAATACTTTTTAATTTTTTTTTCTAAAAATGAATACATGTCTACCATACATATCTTTATGGCTTTCCAGAAGCAGCACCACAAGTTTTACCAAGTAGTGTGTGTCATCAATTTGTTGCTTACAAGAAAAGAATTTTTTTATTTTTTTTCTTAAAATAGAGATGAGAAGAAGTCAAAATCAATGAATGATATGTGAAAGTTTGACTTTCCTATTCTTAATTACCTTTCCTAAGTGAAATCTGCTTGAGCCTTTTGATTTTCTTTGTTCAACTATAATTATTTTATTTTTAATTTTTAGGGAAAATTCTTTTAAAATGTTGGAGAGAAGCTATGTTTGAGAAAAAAAAAATTACTCCATCCGTCCCATTTATTTATAATTGTTTTGTTTTCCCCACGGATTAAGAAATTTTATTTCATGTTATTGAAAAAGTAAATTTTCTCAAAAACTTTCTTAATTTACCCGCATTTAATTATCAGTAACTAGTAGTAAATTGTTATTGAAAGTAGCAAAAAAATAAGTGTATATTAATAAACGAACAAATCAAAACAAAACAAAACATTCTTAATAAAGAAACAAGACTATATAATTGAGACAAAAAAATAAAGAAAGTGAGCCTGTATAAATGGGATGGGGAAGTATAATATATTTGTGTGTTAATTACCCCAATAGTCACTGAACTTTACATAAAGTTTTCACCAGGTCACTGAACTTTAAAAATGACTTGGTTAGTCACTGAACTTTCAAAATTGCAACTTCATCCATCACCGAATTTTAAAAATCACCTCATTCGTCACTGAACTTTTGCAAAAACTTTCCCAGATCGTCACTGAATCAGTGACCAGTGATCAGTGACCATCTGGAAAACTTTTTGCAAAATTCAGTGACCCCGTAGAAATCTTTTACAAAGTTCAGTGATGAATGGAGTGATTTTTAAAGTTCAGTGATGGATGGGGTTGCAGTTTCAAAGTTCAGTGACTAACCACGTAGTTTTTAAAGTTCAGTAACGTGGTGGAAACTTTGAGTAAACTTCAGTGACTATTAGGGTAATGAACCCTAACTTTTTGCAAAGTTCAGTGACCAATGGGGTGATTGTTAAAGTTCAGTGACCAATTAGGTGATTTTTTGAAAGTTCAGTGACTAATCAAGTAGTTTTTAAAGTTCAGTGACCTGGTGGAAACTTTCGGTAAAGTTTTGTGACTATTGGGGTAATTAACCCTATATTTGTTGTTTAGCATAGTAGTTTTAACTTTAGTCTAAATGATAACACTTATATCATTAAATAATAGGGTCAATTAAATTCAAGAATTTAATGTTCATTTAATAAGGTTGAAAGCTTCTTTGACATATTGATATTGGGTGGAGGATGTGCTTCCACTCCATTATTGAATTCCTAGTCATTTTTTGTAATATTAAGTGTTTTATATGTTGTAATAAATGTTATGGTTGAAAAAAACTCCACCTCTTCCTTTTCTCATCCCTTAGCTCTTTGAGAGTAATGGTATGGGTGTATGCTCATGACAGTGATTGCCCTAATAGTCGAGCCCTTCAACAGAAAATTTCGTGTACCGACTCCATTGAGTAGTAGAGCAAAGCTCGAACTCGATTTGTCCCACTTATCAAGTGCTATAGATCAACTATACTGATGCAAACTACCACCGTGCTAGATAGTATTATTCTTGCATATTAGTCGAAGCTTATAATTTAAGCTATGGGTCCAACGGGATTTATTGTTAAAAAGTAAGTAAAAACGTGGTTCTGAGAAATTTGGGATTAAAATAAAGTTTAATTAGCTTATAACCAATTATAAACCCCAACAAACACATGCAACTTTGAAAACAAGGTGTACTTGTTGAAACATGCACGTGACATGAAAACGTGCACACATTGCAAGCATATCGTTACAAAATTTAATGCTAAGAGACCCACGTTTGGTTTTTTTTAGGCTTTGATAAAAGTGCATGAAATGTGTGATTAAAAAATTAATAGAAGTTGCAGATCCTATGAAGTGTATAACTATAAATAAGTAAATGAAAAAATGAGGGCCAAACTGCTTATGTGGAATGAAGGGGAGAAAATTTTGCATTTTATGACTTTTTTTTTCCATCTGGAAGATTGCAACCAATCTTGTAGAAATCTAGAGGAGTGGGATCAACATCAAGTTTCTGTCTGGTCCAACTCTGTGACAAACTAGTACTAATTTTTTGACTCTTCAGCCCAGCAATTTGCAGATGGGTGCACCCCACATGTACTCAGGCCCACCCGTTTTGACTATAGGGTACACCGGATCTACCTTCTGTCACGCTCATAATAAGCCCTGTTTGACCATCATTAAATATATATATACATATATATATATATTTTTTACGTCAAAATCATTTTTAACCATTCTCGTAATAAAATATTTTACACATAAATTTAAAAAAAAAATCTCACTTTTTAACCGCACGTTCCTCGAAAAATCACTGCTTCAGAACTCAATTTCTCCAGAAATTTCATTACAATGATTGTGAAGCTGGGATTAAAGCGATAGTGAAAGTACTATTTATAATTTATAGTTGTCATTCGATTCAAAATATTTATTTATAAACCAACTAGTTGTGCAAAGAAGTAAAATCCAACGTTGGATATTAGATATTTTGGACACGAGAGGTAATAACTATAATTGTATTCTGGAAGATGAATTGTAACATTTTGTCGTGTCCTATGTATTTTCAAAACAATTGTGTAATGCCTATTAAAAATAATATAAATTGTGACTTTATAACTACTTCTAGATATAAGGAAGAAAAAAAAAAGCTTAACTACCAGATATCTTACTATTTTTCATAATTTTTTATAAAAATCTATTAAAAATATTATTTTTAGCTAAAGAAAACATGGGCTAAGTAAGAAATTTCAAGATTTACGTGCTTAATATAACACACAAGTCCTCGAACCAATTTGACGAATGATTTAAATTTTAGAATGGAAAACATTTTATGATCTCTCTTCGTTAATCTTGTCGATTTTTACTTCATAACATACAAAAAACAAAAAGTTTGAGGAATTTTGAAAAGTCAAAAGTTATTTCTGAGAAGAAGCTGTCATTGAACATGTTTTGATTGAATAATTTTTTAAAGGTATTTTGTTTTGGTAGACGAGTTTTTCACGATGTCGAGGCAATAGGTGATCAACAATACGATTATATTTCAATTTGACGAGTTCTAATCACATAGTTCAAGTCTAAGAAGATGCATTTACCTTTTTCTTAATCAATGAAAGCAAAACATATAACTAAAAGATCCCACGACAATTCAATAAACATGACTTGCAAAACCGTATAATAA